CACACATACACCAGAACTTACCGTCCATCCACACTTCCGTTTCCAATTGATCCGTTAACAGACCTTCCAGAGTCACTTAATATCGAGGGTGCACGGTAACCTCCACCACCGCCATTCAAATCTGATTGAGGCGCTATTTGCTGCTGTTGCTGCAATTGAGCGGTGTTTGGCATCGCATACTCCCCGCGACTGTTAGCACCTACGTTGGTGGAAATAGTCTTCTGCTGAATGGATATCCCCGCATAGCCAGGAGATTCCACCTCTTCCTGAAGGGAGACTACATCGTTAGGATAGCTCAAGGAAACACTCAACAAACAGGTCGCCGTCTAATTCAGGCAGAACAAGTGCATTAATAAAAAATAAGGGAATCAGACCAACCCTTTTCGTACGACCCGATTCTGCATGACTGGACTGATCGTAATGGGACTGTAGCTCCCGATATTGTGGTACTTGCTGTTGCGGCTGTGATTGTTGCTGGAACTGGTGGTTCGTAACTGTGGGTCCGTTACCGGGTAGTTGCTGCTTCAATGACTGTAGTTCCTGTGTTTGCGAACTTGACTGCTGACGCTTAAGAGCAGCCAGCTGCTCGAGAGCAGCTTCAACAGCTGCAGCAAACGCTTCTGCCTCGTCTAAAGAGGCAAAACTCAGTCCATATACATGCTGCTTGGTGTCGCGCCATTGGTGAAAGTTCGGACGAGCTTTGTGGTAATTTAGACCTCGTGGTATAGAACAATTGATAACGACCTTTGAGATAAAATAAAAAGCGTTGAAAATGCGGAACTGACGAAACGAGGGAGAGATATGTCCAAAAATAGTCTACGAAGTGTAAAATGAGAAATTTTCAATGAAAACTTAGGTAAAGTAGTAGAGTATAAAAGGACATAAAAAGACGATCCCACATCATAAAACTCCAAATATCTTCCATACAAGAGGAAGAAAGTGAAAATACGAATGAGAGAAGTTAGAATAACAGCCTCCAAGCGTTACTTGAGATGCACAGCCTAACGTGAACATTGACGCAGTGAACTGAATAACAATTAAAAACGAAGCCACAGGGACAGGAAGAATAACTTTAAACTGGCATTCAAACCAAAATACCGAAGTCGTACCTCCCGATCTTGAAGACTCCACCCAACAACGCGATACGCATTTGTTTGTG